AAATGAATAATAAAAAATAAATAAAATAAGAGAAGAATAGTAGTAAGTGAATGGAATTTTAAATATAATACTAACAAAAGCACGATGAAAGAAGGTGAGGTTTGGGTAGACGAAGGAAAATGATTTATGTAGCGATAGGCCATGGGAAGCGAAAGTGAAAATTGGATGAAAACAGACTTATGTTAAGATATGGTTCTTGTGCACCCTGGTTTATATATATTTTTAATGCCGTGTTCTTTCTGTCTTTTATTCCCCTCCCTGTTTCGCTTACATTTCTTATATGTGTGTGCATCTCTTTTTTCCTTCATTTTCTCTTTCTCTCATACTCTTTCCTCTTCTCTTCCTCTCAGTCTCTTTCTCCTCCTCTCACTTTATTCCCCTCATTCTCTTTCTCACCCTCTCTTTCACTTTCTCTTCCTCTCTCACTTTCACTTTTCTTTCCTCGCTCTCGCTCTCGCTCTCTCGCACACACACACACACACACACACACACACACACACACACACACACACACACACACACACACACACACACACACACACACACACACACACACACACACACACACACGTGTGTGTGAATATATATATATATATATATATATATATATAATATATATATATATATATATATATATATATATATATATATATATAGCATACGTTTCGATCTCTCTAGATCCGCCAGTTTGCCTCCCTCCTCTCTCCTTTCCCTCCTTCCCTCCTCTTTCCTTCCCTTTCTCCTTCCTTCCCTTTGCCCTCTTCGACTAGCGGGGGTCACGTTCACCTTGCCACATGCGGGTATAAATTATTGTCTCGACCTCGCCATAAAACTGCTTTGCTTGCGTGGGCCTTGTTATGTAACCTTGACCACAAAGTCTGCCTGCGTCGGTGTCGTGTTGTTGTATGTAACTGTGCTTGTCATAGACCCAGAGGGCATTGGTAGGAGGCCGTTCTTAAGAGGTAACTTTTTCTACGATAGTAATAATAATAAGAGTAATAACAATGACAATAATAATAATAATGAGTAATAATGACAATAACAATGATAATGATGATAATAATAATAATAATAAAAATGATAATGATAATAATATTCCTATACAGTATTATTCATAATGTTAAGAATAATAATGGTAACGATAATAATAATATAATAATAATATTAATAATATTGATATTAACAATAATAACAATAGAGTAACGATGTCAGTAATAATGAAGAGCTGTAACAAGGACGGAGAACAGAGGTGATAAAAATTATAATAATATAAAAAGCTGCAACACGGTGGCAAAACAGTAACAACCATACAGAAGGATGAAGAACAAATAACGTTATAATATTTTGTCATTACTGTAAGGTCACAGTCACAGTCCAAAATATAGTCTTTCGTCTTTCAATTCCCTATAACAGTCTCTCACGTATCACAATTTCACATAAAGAGTAATCTTAGACCACATATTTGCCTCCCTTATCTTTGTGTAAATGGTACTATAAAGCCTCTCTGATTCTCAAGACATAAGAGAACTCTTCAGGTAAACAAGATATTAATGAATATATATACATCACCTGAATGAAAGGAGAAAAAACGGGAGAGTTTGATTATTAAGCAGATATCCAAATACAATACTAACCATTCCTTTAATTTACAGTCTATCCCGCATTGTTTAAAATCTACTAATCCAAACAATAACAAAAACAAACCGTAGCGTTAATATTGCGTTTTTCTTAACCCCGCTAATCTTTACAATAACAATAACAAGAACAACAAAACAGTAACTATAATTATGATTTTGAACATGATAAAGGAGTAGCTTCGGGTGGCACAGGATGAGCGGATAATCATGTAGTCCAGTTTCCCACCAAGTATACACTGTAACTCGATTATATCCGGCCAGCCTTAACAAACCGGTTCTAACCCCCTTACTTTACTGCATTTGAGACGCCAGAATTCCGTACTCCGACTTGTGAGTACAATGACGTCAAATCTTCCTTGTGGGAAGTATTTCGCTATTACATAACAGAAAAATAGAAAAAAATATATATATCATGAGACGGAAAAACAGCAGCTTACATATTATTTTAAGAAAAGATGCTGCTCCATAAATAATTTTGATAAAAGTATAACGGTATTTTTATGACACCAAATGCGGCAGATCCGAAATTTACATTAATTTGCTGATTAAGACTTCAACTGCATTTTGCCTCAATGTTTACTTGCGTCTAGACAAAGTATTGAAGTTTTCTTTCTCTGATACCCATGGGCTTATATTTCCCCATAAATTGCAGCAGCGAGATCCTCCGATATATTACGTTAGTTGCTGTTGTTTTCACTCTGACAGAACGAATCCTTGCGCTGCCAAAAATGACCTTTTACGGGCATGGCAGGCTTTAAAGAATGCCGGCTAGCAAGCCCGGTAAATAAACTTGTACAACGCTTCACAACAGTCATAAATAACTACCGTGCATTGTTATACACCGACACGTAGTTAACATAATGAGCTACAATGAATGATTACGTTCAAAAAATATACAAGGAGTATAATTTACTCTCGCTAAATGAGGGTTAATAGAAGCGAGCAAGCTTTTTAATAACTCTGATTGTGATATTCTAATCTTGTTCTTACTGGCTGATGTAACTGGGACATGATGTAATAATTACCATAATACTACTGGTAATAGTAATAATAATATTGATATGCACGATCATGCTAATGTAATACAATACGCCAAATATGGATTACTAATACTAGTAACAGGGATAATATCAATGATGTTAATAACAATAACAACATTCTCACTAATATCACTGTTACTAACAACAGAAAAGTAGATAGCACTAAATTATTAAATAAGGACAACGCAAATATGATTATCAACAAAAAAAAGTAAAAATAAGAGTAGCATTAACGATATATCATCATCATCACCAGCAAAACTACTATAATTTTCATTATGATCATAAAAACAACCACTAGATTAACAAGTGCAACACGAATGACCCTGATATAGTAACTTGACAATAGTGATAGCAAACAGTATTAACAAGCTAATATAAACAATACAAATCATGATGAAAATAAATAAAGAGCGGGGGGGGGGGGCTGGGAAGTGTTGAATACAGGCCTGAAAAATATCCAACTAATTACCAAGCCACGTATTTTTGAGGGCTCCTTGTTTTCCTTTTCTCGGGTTTTCTTCTTTTATCAACGATAACTGCAGTTGGTTTTAAATTTGAGGAATCGACAAAATAAAAGATCAAGTAGACCTCTACCTTCTTTTTATCTTTCAAGTAATCAAACGTTAGCCAGAATGAGGGGGTTTTAGGATGCCTATCGACTTCCTTAACATCATTATATAATTCATGTTTTCTTTGGTTTCAGAATGTCCCGTACACCAAAAAATGGAGAGTTCTCCTCGCGGTCTTGGTGAGTAACATACGTACTTTCTTCACTTTATTTTCGATTTTTTCCTTTGATGTATGTACACGTACTGTGCGGTTATTTGTTGCTCCTTTCAATCAATTTCTGGTCCGTTTCTTGTCGGTAAGAAGCCTGAGCTCATCTGTTTGCTTGAGAGAGAAAATCCGATGTGGGCTCCTATCCCTTGGTTGCACACGCATACAAGGGCAAGCAGGACATTACACACACACACACACACATAAACACACACGCACACAAATAAAACACACATACAAATACACACACATCACACATACAAATAAACACACACACACACACATCAAATACACACACACACACATCACATATGCAAATAAACACACACACACACACGCACCACGCATACAAATAAACACACACACACACACAATCACACATACAAATAAACACACACATATACCACACCACATATACACCCCACACTGCGTACTCCAACATCCTGCCCACCTTCACACGTAACACTCGGAAAGCCCATCCAGCTGACCGGCCTTCCCTCCGCTTCACAGCTCGGCGTCACCATGATCGGCATCTGCCTCCTGGGTTTCTACGCCAGCACCAAAGCCAGGACGAGGGAACACGTGAAGGACGAAATCCAGGCCGCCATCAACAAGACCACGACGCCGCCACCCAGGTCCGACGTCCTGTGGCGCCACGACATCTTCAGCTGTTTGAGTGCCACCAACAGCACCTGCCCGGAAGGTTGGTATTCCGATGGGGTTGTGAGGGAAAGGGGGAGGGTTAGAGGGAGGAAGGGAAGGGGTGAAAGGGGGATGGGGTGCTAGGGGGACTGGATGAAAAAAAAGTAAGGATAGAAAAGAGAGAGAGAGGGGGGGAGGGAGGGGAGGGAGGAGGGGAGAGGGAGAGAGGGAGAGGGAGAGGGAGAGAGGAGAGAGAGGGAGGAGAGAGAAGAGAGAGAGAGAGAGAGAGAGAGAGAGAGAGAGAGAGAGAGAGAGAAGAGAGAGAGAGAGAGAGGGAGGAGAGAGGAGAGAGAGAGAGAGAGAGAAGAGAGAGAGAGAGAGGAGAGGGGAGAGAGAGATGAGAGAGAGAGATGAGAGGAGAGAGAGAGAGAGAGGAGAGCGAGGAGAGAGAGAGAGGAGAGAGGGAGAGAGAGGAGAGAGAGAGGAGAGAGGGGAGAGAGAGAGAGAGAGAAGAGAGAGAGGAGGAGGAGAGAGGGAGAGGAGAGGGAGAGAGGGGAGGGGAGAGAGGAGAGAGAGGAGAGGGGAGGAGAGAGGAGAGAGAGAGGGAGGAGAGAGAGAGAGAGAGAGGAGGGAGAGGAGAGAGGAGAGAGAGAGAGAGGAGGGAGAGGGAGGAGGGAGAGAGAGAGAGAGAGAGGGAGGAGAGAGGAGAGAGAGAGAGGGGGAGGGGAGAGGAGGAGGGAGGGGAGGAGAGAGAGAGAGAGAGAGAGAGGGAGAGGAGAGAGAGAGAGAGGAGAGAGAGAGAGAGAGAGAGAGAGGGAGAGGGGAGAGAGGGAGAAGAGGGGGAGGAGAGAGAGAGGAGAGAGGGAGGGGGAGAGGAGAGGAGAGAGAGAGGAGAGAGAAGAGAGAGAGAGGGAGAGAGGGAGAGAGAGAGAGAGAGAGGGGAGAGAGAGAGAGGAGGGAGAGAGAGGAGGGAGAGAGAGAGGAGAGAGAAGAGGGAGAGGAGAAGAAGAGGAGAGAGAGAGGGGAGGAGGAGGAGAGAGAGAGCGGGAGGGAGAGAGAGAGAGGGGAGAAGAGAGACGATGAGGGGGAGACGAGAGAGAGAAGAGAGGAGGAGAGAGAAGAGAGGAGGAGGAGGGAGGAGGCGGGGAGAGGGAGAGAGAAGAGGGAGGGTGAGAGGAGGGAAGAGGAGAGGGAGAGAGAGGGAGGGGAGGAGGAGATGAGAGAGAAGGGGGAAGCGAAGGAACCAAAAAAACGGGGGATGAGGAAGAGGAGAGGAGGGACGAAAGAGGACAGGGAGGAGGATGGGGAGGGAAAGAGGGAGAGAGAGAGAGAGAGAGGAGAGAGAGAGAGACGAGAGACAGAGAGGAGAGAGGGGATGAGGGAAAAGAGGAGAGAAGAGAAAGAGAGAGAGAGGAGAAAGGAGGGGGGAGGGAGAGAGAGGAGAGAAGAGCGGGAGGGGAGAGAGAGATAGAGAGAGAGGGGAGAGAGAGAGAGAAGAGAGATGAGAGAGAGGAGAGAGATGAGAGAGAGAGAGAGAGAGAGAGAGAGAGAGAGAGAGAGTAGAGAGAGGAGAGAGAGGGGGGATCAAGGGGGGAGGGAGGGAGGGAGAGAGAGAGAGAGAGAGAGAGAGAGAGAGGGGAGGGAGAGAGAGAGGAGAGAGGGGAGGAGAGAGGAGAGAAGGAGAGAGAGAGTGGGAGGGAGAGAGAGATGAGAGAGAGGGGGAGGAGGCGAGAAAGAAGAGAGGGAGAGGAGGAGAGGGGAGCGATAGAGAGAGAGAGAGAGAGATGAGAGGGGATAGAGAAGGAGAGAAATAGAGGGAGAGAGAGAGAGGACGAGGGAGGAGGAGAGAGAGGAGAGAGGGAGGGAGAACAGAAAGAGATGAGGGGAGGGGAGAGAGGATAAGGGGAGAGGAGAGAGAGGGAGCTCGAGAAGAGCTAGCACGGAGAGAGAGATAGAGGTTGAGAGAGATAGAGGATAGAGGGGAGAGAGAGGGAGAGGAGGAGAGAGGAGGAGGAGAGAGAGAGAGAGAGAGAGGGGGAGAGGGGATGGACGGAGAGAGAGAGAAGAAGAGAGAGACAGATGAGGAGAGAGAGAGAGAGAGAGAGAGAGAGAGAGAGAGAGAGAGAGATAGAGAGGAGAGAGAGAGAGAGAGAGAGAGAGAGAGAGGAGGAGGGAGGAGGGAGGGAGGGGAGAGGAGGAGAGAGGGAGGGGGGAGGAGGGAGGGAGGGGGAGGGAGGGAGGGGGAGAGAGAGAGAGAGTGAGAGAGAAGAGAGCGAAAGGAAACAATCTCATTTGAAAGTAAACACACTACAAAAAAAACGTCTTTTCTTTCTCACAAGGTTACAACCCCGTGCCCCTCCTAGTCATTGGAATCGACGGTTTACACCCCGACTTCGTAACCCCAGACGTGACCCCGGTCTTGTCTTACATGAAGAGTTGCGGGGTCACAGCCGACAGCATGGTCCCTGTCTACCCCACAACCACCTTTCCAAATTTTTATTCTATCGGGACGGTAAGATTTTTATTTTACATTTTATTTTATTATTTTTTTTATAAGCGATCAAATATAATTTCGACCGACAGATATTCTAGGATTGTTAGCACTGTCAATCTCCCCCAGCTTGCTTATCTCTTGAACAAAATAATTAAGCTAATCTAATTATATACCTATTATCTTTGTTTATTTTCCATAGGGTCTTTACCCCGAGAGCCATGGTATCGTAGGTAATAAAATGCATGATCCCAACACTAAGAAGGAATTCGAAGCCACACGTTTTAGTCCTGACTGGTGGCTTGGCGAACCGATATGGAACACCGTGACCAAGCAAGTAAGCCTTCTGTCAAAGCTGTACAAGTGACTCTGTGAAAAGAGCTTTATATACATCAGCGCTTTACATGGCGCATCCTTTTTTTACTTGCTTTGTGCGTCAACAGGGTAAAGATGCAGCCGTCTATTACTGGCCTGGGTCCGATGTCTTCATTGACGGAACATATGCCAGTAACTTCTACCAATACCGCAAGACGGAACCCATCGACGTACGAACCAAACAGGTAGGTCACCGTGAGTGGGAGAGGGTTAATGGCAATAGAAATTTATTTTCGAGTGGAAGAGAGAAATGGACAAGAAAAAAAGAAGGAAGAGGGATGATGGGAGGAGAGACAAGAGGTGGGAGAGCGAGGGAAAGGACTGAGGGGGCAAAGAAAGGGAAGAAGGAAAAACATAATTTTTCTTCATTAACATGTGATTTGCATGATTCCAGTCTTTTACGGCTCTTGCAAATCAGGCATGATTGATATCTTTCTACTCGTTCCAGGTCTTAAACTGGTTATCCTCCTCTTCTGATGAAAGGCCACATATCGTCATGGTATACTTTGAGAAGCCCATGTCCGCCATCCAAGAATTCGGACCCTTCTCTGAAGAGGTAAGCAACATCTTCGAGATTAGGTTGCAGTGCAAATAGACAAATCAGCCGCAATACCATAAAAAAAATCATAATTTCGAAGTTAATCCCCTTTGTTTTTCCTTGCAGGCGAAGCATTCCCTCAGCCTAGTGGATAAAGAGATTGATAAACTCATGATAGCCTTGCACAACATCGGCCTCGCCCACTGCCTGAACATCCTGGTGGTTTCCGACCATGGGGCCGCCTCTGCCTCCTGCTCCTCTTCCTTCTACCTCGAGAGCTTCGTTCCAAACATCACCGCGAAGGCACATGTGTTCACAGGTGCCGTGGGAAGGCTTAGGGCAGTTTCAGGAGACAGAGGTAAGGCATGAGAATGAACCGTCAGTAGCCAGTGATAAATTGAGGGCAAAGGACGCAACTACGCATTTTAAGATAATGCATGTTTCTGTATTTTAGTGATATTATATTCGTGTGTTTGATTAATAATTGCTGTGATCCTTTTTGACTGGGTTTTCCTCGCACCCTGCTCTACTGTACCACAGAAAAGAACAATGAATGATGGAGCAAAACCCTCATCTGTTGTGTTACCATACTTTTGCACGGTCATCGCCAATATTACGAACTTTTCCGCGTTCCGTTCCCGGAAAACGCATAAAAGAGTACGAGATAACCGAGGTACTATTTCCATACCTTATCAACGATGAGCGCCAGATGAACCAGGCTGGAGATCCGAGTCGTCGCCTTCGGGAACGAGTTCGCTATAAATTTCCAGGGATTGGAGAAGCATCCTCCGCGTTCGAAAGCCATTTGGAGACTGATTTCGAATAACTTTTACTGACATCTATTTGAGCGAGAGTGGCCATTTGCGGTTTTCACGTTGTTTAACGGCCAGTGGGTGAGTCCGTCAAACTACTGGTCTCGTGATCCAATTGTTCGCACATCGGCACTGACTCTTCTCTTAAGCCAAATAAGCATCCAATTACTAATTTGAGAAGTGCTGGGAACGACGACGATTTCACAAAATTTTCGTTCGGAGGACTGTTTCGAAGCCACCTGAGATTATTTTAGGACTAAGTAGTACAAGTTTATTTACCAAGAACCTTGTACCGCGAGAATAAGGAAAAGAAAGAGAAAGAAGACAGTTTGCTTACGGGAGGAGAAAGACAGCGTTGCGGCCCAAGCCCGAGATTGTTTTCTTTTTACCCATTTAAAGCGGACATTTGATTATCTTAAAGAAACGTTTGCCGCGAAGGCCGGCTTGACTTTTGGCGTTCCAGCCTCCACGAACAGAGCGACTGCCATAATCTCTTAACCGACTTGGAGCAGTGGTTGGTAGTCCGAAGGAAGAGTTTTCACACGCGCTCTTGGGTTTGCGGTGCTAGTACACAACAGTCCTTGCAATAACGCATATCATGATCGGACCTGTTGATGACTTTACCAATTTCTCTCCAATGACGGATGATCTTGACGCCTCTAGAGGTCATCCCGAAAGTGCATATCAACTGACGAAGGGAGAAAACGACGCTTTCTCCATAGTGCTACGGATGCCGGCTGTACTGTAGTTACCGCTTCAGACGAAAGGACTTGGTTGCCCCCCTCCCCCATTATCAATTACGCCTCCATGACAGATGAACAACCCGTGACATAAAGCAATACGCACATAATTTCGATAACATTGTTAATACCGCTATACAATACCAGTTCAAAATCCTTGGAAAACGCCACCGATATGCTTATGGCTTAGCGCCTTCGGGGTTTGTCACCTTTTACATACCCCCCCCCCCCCGTCACACACACACTGCAACATCCCGGATCTGCCTTTGTCCTAATCCACGAGCGTCCAGGGATCAGTAAGCATGACATCCTTTCGTGTGGGAGCCTTAGGTTTCCAGAGCTGAAAGGAAACACTGTTCTTGGAAGCTACGTAACTAACCCTCACGCAAAATTTGGGCCTGCTGATATGATTTCATCGTTTCTCATCTCTTTGTTTGCATAGTGTATTTTATATGAGCAAAACGCTTCGGAAACTGACTCAGTACTGCCCCTAAAAAAGAACGGAATACGCAGTGACGCATTTCTATTCTTGAGTTGCTTTTTACGTTCAAGTCTTTATATTCGACTTGGAATCTTTCCTTTTTCTGTTCTGTTAAACTATTTTAGGAATGGAGACATCACCAATAGGAGGGAGTTTATTGTCGTAAACTGTAATGTTTATTTGACCATAATTGTTATCATCACTTATTTTCTATTCCGTGAGACAGCTGTGGAAGACGAGATCTTGAAGGCGTCCCAGTGTAAGAACCCCAGAGTGCGAGTCCTCCCAAAGTCTCTCCTGCCACGAAGGTTAGTAAGTCCCGATGGCCAGAATTTACTTTAATAGATAAACAAACAAATTATATATGTGTATATATACATTGTTAAACATTGAATTGCCTTCACCACTTTTGCTACTCTTTGTTCATATTACATGCATCACATTTGCGTTGTTATGCCGTCCACATGTTTACTGGCATTAATGAAGGATATATTAAATTATATATCATACGTCACCAATATAAAAGGAATAATTTCATGCTGCCACTCCCAACAACCATGATTCGAAGAGTATTAAAGTTTAGCCATTTTTTTCAAATTTCGTCCATTATTTAAGTCCTGAGCAGTGAATATCAGCATCGAGCGAAAATACAAATTAGGGCCTGGATGAATGTATTCGGTTTCAAAGAAGTTTCAAAATGAGCGTACAAACATACATGACACGTCAAGTTGCTCCCAAAATAATAACCGGTGTACGAAATGTTTCAAATAACCCTTTTATATAAATTCCACCATTTTTTTGTTTGTCTACCGCCAGCTGTCATCTCACGGAACCGGCGATCAGTAGCATATTACAATTTGTACGAGGAAACCGTTTCATAAACAGACACCAGTGAAAGAATTAGACTCTGCAATGGAAAGTCCAGAGTACACATAAAAGTTGCAAATATCCATTATGTATCTCTTCTCATTTCTTCAGTAGTGTTTTAAACTTTAGTATAGTCTATATCCCCTATGTATATCTCTGTCCCCTTACAATTTGTACGAGGAAACAGCTTCATATATACAGGTTACAGTCACGTGTTTGAATTCGAAAGACCGTACAATAAAAAGTTCAATATAAAGTTCATAGAAAGTCGTACATTTCAATTATACCTTCTTCACCTCATTTATTAACAAATTATTTATCTTAATGCAGATACCACTATGCAAATAACCCCCGAATAGAAGAGGTGATTTTGGACACGAAACCAGATACTCGGGTTGTGACAGACAGTACAAATTATTGTAAGAAAGGTGAACATGGATTCAATAATCTGGAACCAAGGATGCAGGTAAGAGATAGTAAGAATGTTAATTACTATCCATACACTGCATGGTTTTAGAAAAGGAAAAAATGACACTGGAAAAAGTGTACTACAAAATTATACATTTTAATACTTCTTGATAACGACTCTCTTCCGTCCATCTACAGGCAACTTTCATAGGGTTTGGACCAGACCTGAAAGTGAATTATACAGCGCGTAGTTTTCGGAATGTTGAGCTGTACAATCTGATGAGTCACCTTGTTAAAGTCGAGCCACGTTCCAATAATGGTAAAAAAAAATTATATACATGTATATATATAGATAGATAGACAGATATACTCTATCACTCTCCTTTCCCCACTCACTCTTCTCTCTCTCCCTAACTCAGTTCTCTCTCCCCCCCTCTCCCTCCCTCCCTCCCTCTCTCTCTCTCTCTCTCTCTCTCTCTCTCTCTCTCTCTCTCTCTCTCTCTCTCTCTCTCTCTCTCTCTCTCTCTCTCTCTCTCTCTCTCTTCGTGCGTGTAGGCGGGTGTTTATACATATATAATTTTATCTCAGAACCGAGTTAATTTTGATAAGTTTAGAAAAAAAATATCATATCGTAAGATACGATAAAAAACTACATCAAATTATTTCCTAGGCACAATGGGCAGCCTGGACCACTTCCTACGCCAATTGCCGCAGCGATCCCCCCTTGACACACACAAGGATCTCTTGGAGGAAGAAGTGTTGCCTCTGGCCGAAAGGCGAAAAGTTCCTGAGAACGCAACGGACGAAACGTGTGTTTGTAACTACGTAGAGCCAGTGGAACCTGAAGTAAGTTTATTTATATATTTATTTTATTTTATATATATATATATTTTTTTTTTTGGGGAGGTCATGTTTGAAGTGATTGTGATGGGTTAATGTATTTTGATATCAATGTTTTGGTTTTAAAGGGATTCTTTCAATTTAGGTTGTGTGGATGTTTGTAGCACACGTCAGGGTTTTTGTCGACAACAATGATCATGGGGAACCGTGGGATTTGGATGGGGGGGGGGGCGAATTCGCTCATACCAAGGATTTTCAATAAATAAGAGTATGGAAAATAAAAAGATTAACCCAACTGCGCTATTTATTAAGTGGCAAAAGAAACTCGAATCCAGATTTTGATCACAATATTCGATCGGAACGAACGAAGGAACGAACCACATCCTAAACGTGTAAACTACCCCCAAAAACCGCCGTAACATACCAAATTCCGTTCTAACCCGCTTCCGATCAAGGTCTATGTAAGTACTTATGTAGACCTTGCTTCCGAGCACTGTATTGCCCTAACCGGGTGCACCACCAATTGTCAATTCTCTCTATACTGGGCCTCCACCGTATCAACTCAGTCGTTTTCCAATGACCACATTCCCTTCCCGACTGCTACATAAATAACAATGTCCTGTAAGTTAAAGATTGAATTTTAGCTTACCTTGAGGGGCGGGGAAGGGTCAAGTCAAAGTTGGTCCCATATCCATCTGGACGTATGGTACATGTTTTGTAGAGAAACATGCTTACTAAGCCGCGGGATGATGCGGTAGGGTGGCCAATTCCTTTCCGCCCCGACTTTGACCCCAGTATGCTGACGTCAGCATACCAGTGCTCATTCACAGCTGAGTCGACTGAGAGGGTCAACCGGGCGCGAACCCAGGACCATGCGATTGCAAAGCCAGCGCTCTACCACTGGGTGGGAAGATAAGAACTTTCAGACCTCTTGCGGCTGGAACGAAGTTACTTGCACTTAACTGAATTTAATGGTATTCCTGAGATCGTAACAATTTCATTTAAGAATTTGTTTTCACCGAAATGTCGAATAGAAAATCGAAAACACAAGTAGCACAGTCAACAAACTTCACTTCCGAAACAAGCAATAAACTGTCAACAAGTTTTTCAAATTTGCCGCTAGATGGCTGTGCATGCGCGGCGCGTGGATGTACTAATTATTTCAATAAACATGCGTACATAGTAATGCACAACGATTTGAATATAAAATTAATTTACAGTCAATAAAGACGTATGTTGATTTACCTTAGCTATGTCATGATAGGCGCGTAGGGACTACATTTTATGCAGTACATTTTTGTTGATTTCCTTTTGTCAGTTGGTTTCTGCAGATTATTATTTTTTTTTTTTTATAAATGAATATTATGCTTTATTGCCTACAACACAATGATTTTCGAGTCTCTTAAATTCGGTAAGGCCCTTTTGTATACTTCACCAATGGAGAGAATATAAGAATATAAGTTTTATGGTAACATTACAGTGTGTATTTATTTGCGTGTATCACATATACATACGTACACACACACACACACACACACACACACACACACACACACACACACACACACACACGCACGCACGCACGCACGCACGCACACACGCACACACACACACACACACACACACACACACACACACACACACAACACACACACACACACACACACACACACACACACACACACACACACATACATATATATATATATATATATATATATATATATATATATATATATATATATATATATATATATATATATATATATATATATATATATATATATATATATATATATAATGAATAAGAGGCTACTGGTAGCTTATGAATAGAGAAGGCATCCAGAGTGATGATAAACTCATTGTTGATTGCATGTACTACTTTTATCATTGGTACTCTCCTTTAGTAGTTGCAAAATCCTTCCCACACTTCTTCATTATTTCAATGCAATTTCTTTAACATCATCCAGTTATATTTGTTTAGTATTTTATATTTATCAAATTGGCATCTTCCTACTTTTTATTGTGTTGATTGTTATTTTACACCATTTGTGATTTGTGCTGTTATTTTTGTTATAAGTGCTTCAAATATACTCTCTTTGTAAGCTTGATTTACATGTGCTTGGTTTTATATATATTTGATTTAGAATTTTGATATGATTACAAAATCATGCTAATTAGTCATGTTTGCCAAACTGTTATATATATTTGATTTAAAATTTAGATATGATTGCAAAATCATGTTAATTATTCATGTTTGTCAAACATAAAAGTTTTTAATAAAAATCTTAATATCTATAAACAATTTACTTGGCATATATATTTTGATTTATTTTTAGATGAAATATCTTTGATTTCTGGTTCATGATTATAAATATGGTTATACTTTCTTTCCAGATAGATTATGTCAGTGCAAATATCAGCAGTAACAGTACCAACAATGCGACCGAGACTGAGGATTATGACGACACTGCAAGTACTGTGAGCGAGGAGCTGAAAGTCAACCTGTTCCACCAGCAAAATTTCCATAATCCATGGGGTTTTGTGGGATATTCCAATGCGGATAAATTAGAGGGAAAGATGAAGGTCCTCTTGCATACTGATTATGTCATAGGTTGGTACAATGCTGTTAGTTTTCATTTTTTTTTTTTTTTTTCTGATGAAAAAGTTTTTTTTATGAAATGTATTGTTTCAGGGAAAATAAGGAAGTACTTGAGTGTTAATGACAACAAAATGCTAACTGCTTTTGTAGTGCGGCCCTTTTGTACACTTCATTTATTTAGTTATTTGTATGGTGGATGGAGTTATGATTTTGCTAGTATGATTTTATTGGAATAAGGATACTTTGGCTTATTTTTCCTTGAAAATCAATTGATATCCATAAGTTTAGGATATTAATGCATTGCAATCTTGTGGTTTGTTACGAGTTTTTTTCTTCCAATAGTGTTATCAAAATATTTCCTCAGTGTGGAAGGACATTGATTTTTATAATCCTCACTGTTGGCAAATGAAAGATGTATATCATTTAATTTAATTAGATTGATATTTATAAATGTTTTGATGAAAAAAGTAATTTCTAATTTATTATTGTTATGTATAATCTTTTCCATTTTCAAGTTCAGCCAGCAGCATTGCCAATGTATGAATCCCTACTTGTGACTCACAGCTGAAACACACACCTCCCACTCAGTTGGTATGCATTTTGGGTACAAGAGTCCAAACTAGCAGGTACAAATTGGCAACCTGACTGATGAACTTGGAAGTGCAAGGAACTATAAGGATTATTTTAGTTACACGGTTTTATTTCATAAACATTCATATAATTTCCATTACTTTCTTAGGTCTACAA